CATCACCTCACCTCTCTATCTCCTTCTGTACACTGTGAGCTAGGCCCCATAAGCACAACTCCTGTTCTTCTATTCCCCAATCGCAGCAGCCAATATGAGTTCGAATCGGCTCTGATCCGTGCTCCTTGCACGCACTCTCTCTCTCCCCCCCTGAGGATGAGTTTGGTAAAGTTTTTCTTCCTGGTTCTTTAACTTCATTTTCTATTTCATGATATAGTGATTTTGGTGAGGAGAAAAGTAGGGAGCAAGGTGAGAAATAGGTGAGTAGTGATTGTGTAGTGATTCTATTGGTGATAGAGTAGGGAGCTGTGGAGACTGAAGAGCGGGGGTTTTAACTCCTATCCCATAGTATAAATAAATGAGTGATTCTTGTTAGCTCTGATCTCCACCAGAATCACTGCATGAGAAAATCTGGGTTTGTGTGCACTATACTTTTTTTTTGAAACGGATTGTGGCACTATACTAATATAGGGAATTATATAGGGATGCAGAGGTGGTTAGTGGAAAATTAGTTTCCATATATATGGATTTGTTTGGGCCCCTATATATATTGCTATTCACAAAACAATAATCCACGCGCCACGGTGCCTGTTCACCCCAATTCCATTCCAGCAGACGTTCACTCGGTCCTGCCCCAAAGAACGATTGATCTGATCGCGACTTTATATTTTTGGTAAAAAAATCCGCAACTTTTCTTTTTTTAAAGTTTTCCCTTTTCTATTGATGCAGTCTAAAACAACAAAACATTTACTTTAACTTGTTATAATTTATGAATGGCGTATCAGTTTTTAATTCCATCTACACTGGTGTGTTCTTCGCGACCAGATGAAAAAAAGTAGACCCCACTTGCATATGTTTCGAAGAATATTTTTAGTAGCAAATTGTGTGTACTAAATTATAACTTATATATGACGTATAATTTATGTACACAAGTTATATCAAATAACTTATCATAATAACTTATGTACACAAGTTATCTAAAATAACTTATGTACACAAGTTGTACAAAATAACTTATCATAATAACTTATGTACACAAGTTGTCTAGAATAACTTATGTACATAAGTTGTGTTTAAGAACTTCTGTACATAAGTTGTGTTTCATAATTTTTGTATTTATAAGTTAATTCGTTACTTTGTGTGTTAATAACTTTTGTGTTTACAAGTTTTGGCATAAATTATAAGTTAATTCGTTCCTTTGTGTTTAATAACCTTTTGCAAACAAGTTGTGTTTCATAACTCTTTTGTTTCCAAGTTTTTCGAATAAGTTATAGGTATAAGTTATATGCTATACGTTATAAGTTAGTACACATAAATTGTACTGAATGAAATTTTTCAAAACATATGCAAGTGAGGTCAAGTTTTGTTATCCTCATCGCGCAAAACATATCGGTGTAAATGGTATTTAAAATGAATACACCGTTCAGAAGTTATACCAATTTTAAATAAATGTTTAGCTTTGTTTGACTAGTTCAGCGCTGACATCACCCATGGAGCTGCATGCAAGGGGCCGCGCTGCTAATTACTTTCCTAATAGGGTAGCAGGTGGGCTTTTTTTCTCCATAAAGGAAATTATGGCTGTCCGAAAATCATTCGCTGGATTCACGTGAGCGTTCGCTCATTAGTGGGATTGTCCATTCACGCTGCAGAGCTTTGGATTCCCCTCCATGCTCCTTGTCGTTGTGCATGCCAGCTTCCTTGGAAGTAGGAACTGGTCTCCGATCGGTCCTCGACGTTGCCGAATGTAATGGTGGATCGGAGCTCATTTTCATGCAATATAACAATTCATCACAACACAAGCCTGAGCCCTGAGCGGGATTCCGATCGATCTCTGATCCCACCACGTGCGTGCGCCAAAATATACACTTGATCACGCACGTTCATAGCAAGGTGCTTGAAGCATCACTGGTGCCTGCTCGTGAACGTCGTCACAGTGGAGGACAGCCAGCGGCCATGCATGGCTGGTCGCGGTCGGCACCGTGGTCTCCCCGCCACGCTCGTGCTCCTCACCGTCGCCATCGCCAGCTTGTTTCCTGGGTGCGCTACTGCTGAGGAGCTTTACACTGCGTTCAGCACGTTCTGCTACGAGAATAAGGAAGGCGGCAACTTCTTCAGCGCCAGCAGCATGTACCAGGTGAACAGAGACGGTCTCCCCCACAGCCTCAGCGCCGGCGCCACCACGAACGCCGGGTTCCTCAACACCACCTTCGGCGACCCGAAGCCCTGGTGTCCGCGACGTACGCAAACGAATGTCGTCATTGGAAGACAGGCAGCCATGGCGCCTCGTCGTGGTTGGCGCTGGCGCCGCCGTCTCCCTACCGCGCTCGTGCTCCTCACCACCATCACCGTCGTCGCCAGCAGCTTGCTTGGTGGGTACGCCAGCGTGGAGACTTACACACCGGCCAGGACGCACTGCCCGGCGGAAGGCGGCAACTTCAGCGCCGGCAGCATGTACCAGGCGAACATAGACGGCCTCCTCCACAGCCTCCGCGACGGCGCCGCCACAAACGCCGGGTTCCTCAACACCACCTTCGGCGTTCCCAACGACGAGGTGTTCGGCGTCGCCATGTGCTTCGCCGACGTCAGCTGGTCCGACTGCAAGAAGTGCCTTAACATGGCGCCTTCTTACATGATGAGCACGGCGTGTCCGAGCGGCCGGACCGGGGCGCTCCTTTACAACGAGTGCCTCCTCCGCTACTCCGACGAGTACTTCGCCTCGATGCAGACCGACACGGACCAAGATCCCTTCGGGATATATGTCACCGGCGGATACGTCGGCGACATGGTGAGCATGAACAACATTCGGTGGAAGATGATGGGCAGGCTCATCGCGGAGGCCGCCGCGTCACCGTTGCGGTACGCCTTGGACAACAACGAGACGTACACGGACCCAACGACGTAGCCTGTAGCCCTGTAGGCGGCTGCATGTTGTGGCAGGCCGCCGCCGCCATCATGTCCTGGGGCTGGTGTTGCTGCTGTTGCGCGGCCGCGAGCTGCTGATGCTGCTGCACCGTCTGGTTCGTGTGGACCATCTGCAGGTCCGGCATTTGGCACGCATGCTGCGCCACGAACTGTTGGGCCTGCGGCGGCGGCGCCACCACCTGTTGCGCCATGGTGGCCGGCTGCAGAGTCCACGGCAGGAGCTGCTGGTCGCCGATCACTGGCGCGGCCGGGCCAGAGAGCAGCAGGGTGGAGGCGAGGCCGAGGAGGTCTGGGTCCGGCTCGTAGTTGGCGAGCGGCTCCAAGGCGCAGAGCGGGTCGAGGTCGGCGGCCTGCGCGGGGTAGGGGTAGCAGTACGCGGCGGCGGGAGTGAGGAGCGCGACGGAGAGGTCGAGGTCGAGGTCGACGCGCGGCGCGTGGGTGACGCGGTCGATGCCCATGCGGAGCAGGCGCTTGCGGATGTTGGTGTTCCAGTAGTTCTTGACCTCGTTGTCCGTCCGCCCGGGCAGCCGCGCCGCGATCGCTGACCACCTAACCACACCAGTGACCATTGTAGCCAATCACGCATCGATCAGAGACCGTACTGCTATATATGCTGCTACTGTCTGTACTAGTAGCAGTAGAGCAAAAGCAGCACAAGCCAAGCTAGCTCTCCACGATGCCGAAGTGTGTAGTGTGTGCTTATTGTTACTTGTTGCCGAGAATGCTGTGGAGCTGGATGATGGTGTCCTCCTCCTGGAAGGAGAATCGGCCGCGCTTGATGTCCGGCCTCAGGAAGTTGGTCCACCGCAGCCGGCAGCTCTTCCCGCACCGTGCGAGCCCTGCGTGCCATGACAAGAAGGTGATGAGCATGGATATATATATATGTCTCTATCTATATATATGCATGCGTATGATTATATATTGATGAGTTCCGTCAGTGCATGTCAGGGCGCTCTGCTCGTCACCAGCATTCTTGGGGAGGGTGCGCCAGTTACCCTGGCCGTGCTTCTTGATGTAGGCGACGAGCTTCTCGTCCTCCTCGGGCGTCCATGGCCCCTTCTTCACCCGGCTCTTCTGGCAGCACGGCGCGCGCCCCATCGATCGATGGCCTGGTGGATCGACCTGTCGCTTCCTCAATCGGCAGGTAGACGAAGCTGCAGGTAGCAAGGCCGGGCTTACATTGGGACGACGACGACGATGGGGAAAGGGCGAGCGGAAAAAGGCCTGCTCTGTCTCGCCTAGCTCGCTGCTACACCGGCTTATCAGCTGTATCCACAGATCGAGCAAGGACAGGCCGGGAGGCGGGAGCGTCCTACGTTGCGTTGCGCTCCAGATACAAGTGTGTGAAACCGAGCCTATAAAGGGCCCGAGGGCGATGGGGCCGCCGCGTCGGAAAAAAATTAGGTGAGGACCACTACTACAACAAATCTTTTTCAAGGCGTTTGCCAAATGGCCTCAGAGGCGGGCGGGCCGATTGCCCGCCTCCGTTATTGGGTGGCCGGACAGCCAGCCCAACAACCGCTTCGGTTAATATATATTAACTGAGGCGGGCATCCTAACGCAACCATCTCGGTAAATCATTAACCGAGGCGGGCATTCTAACTCAACCGCCTCGGTAAATCAGGCCCAACCCGCTAGCCCACACCAGCCCACTACCATCACTAATATATAAACGCAGGGGTTAGGGTTTTCCAGTCCTCACTTCTGTCTCCCCATCCCACAGTCGAGGCCGAGCGGTGCGCCCCTCGCGGAGGGAGAGCCCGACCGCTCGCCCCTCGGGAGGGAGAGCTCGACGGTGCCCCTCCACTCTCTCCCTCCCTCCACTCTCTCTCCCTCACACACTCCCTCCCGAGCCCCTCCCCCTCCATACTCCGACGACGGCGCGGGCGGCTCCCTCTCCGGCGTGGAGGCGAGGAGGACCACCGGCACGCCTCTCTCTCCGGCATGGAGGCGAGGAGGACCACCGGCACGCCTCCCTCTCCCTCCGGCGGCGCGGCCTCCCTCTCCCTCCGGTGAGTGGAGCAGCGGCGGTGCAGATCCGGAGGCTCCCTGTTCTCCCTCCCCTCCGCGGATCGGGCATGCAGGGGCGGTGGCGCAAGGCCCAGATCCTTCCCTGGTGGTGGATCCGGCAGCCCGTGCAAGAGATCCATCAGTGGCAGCGCCTCCAGGTGCGTCCTGGATCTGACCGATGGTGAGGAGTAGCGGTCCCAGCGGCTCCACCAATGGCCTCGGCAAGTAGGTGATCGGATCCAGCCAGCAGGTGCCCGGATCCGGCGGCGGTTGCGGCGGCGCCTGAATGGGCTCGGCGGGCCCTTGGATGTGTTTGGCGGGCCTATCCATGGATTTTCCTCTTTTTTTGTTTTTCTATTTGATGAACCGAGGCGGGCAGACACCGCCTCGGGAGTTCGTGTATTAATCGTGGCCTTTTGTTCGAGGCGGTTGCGTTGCCCGCCTCGGTTAATCCATACAAGGTCATCGAGGAGAACGTGCAGCTTCACATCGAGGTGAAGACGGCCAAGGACGGCGCAGTCAGGAACGTCGGCGTCGAGCAGCTCACGGCCGTGGTGCTGGCCAAGCTCAAGGAGACGGCGGAGGCGCACCTCGGCCACCGGGTGGAGGCCGCCATCCTCACGCTCCCGCTGCAGTTTTCCGACGACGCGTCCAGGTCCGCAGCAGTGTTCGCCGGCAGGCTTGCCGGCCTCAAGGCCGTGAGGGTGGTGCTCAGCGAGCCCGTCTCGGCTGCCATCGCCTATGGCCTCAGCAGGAACCTGCGCGACGAGGGCAACGTCGTCGTGCTGCACGTCGCCGGCGGCACGGCCGAGGCGAACGTCATGACCTTCGTGGACGGTGTGTATGAAGCCTTGAGCTCGCAGTATGACCCTTTCTTTGGAGGACAGGACTTCGACCGGAGGATCGTGGACCACTTCGTCCAACTGGTCAGGGGCAAGCATGGCAAGGACATCGCCAACGATGGCATTGCACTCAGCAAACTGAGGATAGCATGCGAGCTTGCCAAGAAGACATTGAGCCACCAGGAACATGCGCAAGTGAGCATCGAATGGCTCGTCGACGGCGTAGAATTGTCAGAGCCACTGACGCGGGCTGAGTTTGAGGAACTGAACCATGATCTGTTCCTCAAAGTTGTTGAGATGGTGGATAGGGTGGTGTCACAAGCTGAAGTGGAGACCATTGATGAGGTGCTTCGTATTGGTAGAAGCACCATGATCCCAAAGGTTAGGGAACTCATCAGGGACTACTTTGGTGGGACCAAGGCAGTGCTCCATTCGAGGTTGAAACCAGATGAGGTGGTCACCATTGGAGCCGTGGAGTACAGCAAACGACATGACGCATTGTGTACGTAGCAGCTGATGAGTTGACTAACGCGGTCAAAATGTAGATGTTTGCCTTTTATTTTGGCCTACGTTCATCCGACTTATAGCCTATATATATGTTTAGCGGGCACAATCCACATTTCTGTGTTTAGATTTATCTTTTTTCTTCTCTTTGTCTATTTGTTCCATGATATGTTTATTCATTTGTTCCATTCTTAAAAGGTAATGTCTTGCTAATATTATTTACTTATGTAGTTTTTAAAAAAATGTTCTACAGATTTCATTATTTTAAAAGTGCAAATGTTTTGTTTCTCCGGTACAAAATTTTGTTCCTATATACGGTAAAGGGTAACGTTTTGCTAACTTATGTAATTTTTAAAATATTCTGTGAATTTCATTACTTTTATTGTACAAGTGTTTTGTTTCTCTCCTATAATAGAGAATCATCTCCTTCCCCGCCAGCGCGCTGTCCTTTGCCTTCCCCACCGCCACGCCACCCGACACCGACCAATCTCTACCTCCAAGCCACCTCCTTGGCCATGCCGCCGCCACACCAGCAGGAGAGAGTGAGAGAAAGATTAAGAGGAGGGAGAGAGTGTCGTCTCAGACCTAGGTGAATGAGAGGGTGAGAAAGGCGCACCATGCACAGGATCCTAGAGCGTCTGTGCCACCCTCACGCCGCTAGAACTTGCCCCACCCCTACTAGAAACCAATTTGTCGCCCAAACTGCCCCCGCCCCTACATACTATCTTGCCCTGGGGCACTCGCTGGCGCCACCGTTGGACAAGGAGAGAAAGGGGCGGTTGAGAAAGAGAGAGAAAGAGGGATGGAGTGCTGTTTGAGGGGTGGGTGAGGGAGAGAATGAGGCGGTTGTGGCTAAAGTTGTGAGTGGGAGTAAGAGAAGTGAGGGAGTTAGGGTCTTGCCCGCTTATGTAGTCCGAGATCCAAAGTGCGCTGAGATGGGTCGCGCGTATTCATAGCAAGCTCAACATATTGTCTATCTTACAGTCTTCTTTGTGCCATCGCAACAACTTTGCATGGTCTTTATTTCTGAACAGACGTTTCAAGCGTGGTATTATAGGAGCATACCACATAATCTTGGCAGGGATTTTCTTCGTGGGACTTTCGCCCTCAACATCACCAGGGTTATCTCGCCTGATCTTATACCGCGATGCATGACATACCGGGCATGCATCTAACTTCTCGTACTCCTCGCCACGGTAGAGGATGCAGTCATTAGGACATGCATGTATCTTCTGGATTTCTAATCCCAAAGGGCAGACTACCTGTTTTGCTTCGTACGTAGTGGCGGGCAATTCGTTATCCTTCGGAAGCATCTTCTTTTGGATTTTCAGTAACTCCCCAAATCCCTTGTCAGATACACCATTCTTTGCCTTCCATTGCAGCAATTCCAGTGTGGTACCCAACTTTTTCTGCCCCGCATCACAAGTTGGGTATAGCAATTTCTTGTGATCCTCTATCATGTGCTCGAACTTGATCTTCTCCTTTTCATTTTCGCATTCTCTTTGTGCGTCACGAATGGCCTGACCAAGATCATCAGCGGGCTCATCTTCTGCTCCTACCTCTTCTTCAGCTTCTCCCATTGCAGTATCATTGAAGGCACTATATTCAGCAATAATGTCATCATCGTCCCATTGTTCTTCTTCACCTTCTTCCATTACAACCCCCGTTTCTTCGTGCTTCGTCCAACAAATATAGTTTGGCATGAAACCCGACTTCAACAAGTGTGAATGAAGACTTCTTGAGCTAGCATATTCTTTCAAATTCTTACATATGGCATATGGGCAGCACATGAAACATCGCGTTTGTTTGCCTCGGCCACACGTAAGAAAGAATGCACGCCCTCAATGAACTCTTGGGAGCGGCGATCAGCATTGTACACCCAATGCCGGCTCATCTGCATTACATGACATACATACCATATTAAAACCTAGAACATAATTAGTTAATTATACGACATGCATGCCACCACATAAGGTATTAATTTATGAAAGTCTCGCTACAATGTAGACAATCTCAACTACCACTAAAAAAACTAAAGCTAAAATACACTTCAGCAGCGTAAGGTTTTCACGACCAATCCCAACTAAAACAGACAGATCATGCATTTGTTCAACATCTATGGGCTTCTTCCGCAGGATCACTGCCTCATCAGCCGCCGTAGCCGTCTGTGCAAGAGAGTTTTGCACGTGTTCAACATACTCTTCCTCCCAGTACCAGCCTGAACATCCATTGCCATCCCACTGAAATTAAAACAAAAAATTAGAACTTTAATCACAATTATCATGAAAATAAGTATAAATTAACCATAATCATCAAATGCGACAAAATAACTCACATTACGATCCGGACACTTGTAGAAGATACGGTCCTTGTTGGGACACTCCTTTCTCACCCGGTACTCCATCACAATCTTCTCATCACACTTGCCGCATGCAATGAGAGGGAGGTCTGGCCTCAGTCGCTTTGAAACCCGATGAGAGGCCGAGGACCCGGAAGCAGTTGCCATCTACTCTCTATACTCATTTTTAATATAATATAAATTTCTCATTTTATAAACAAATAAAATTTAAAAAACTCTAAAATTCTCTATATCTCTAAACCATGAAGTGTGCTATGCATGCTAGAAATGAAAGCTGAATACTAGTTTTGAATAACTACTTTAACCTTCCTTCATCCAAATATGCAAACTTTAAAGTGATTTTGAGCTTAAATGGCTTACAAATAAAAAAGAATCCACCATAAAAAACCACATATATCTAGTCCACAAAATGAGATATGCTACTGATGAAACATGAGAGTATAAAGTTGGTAACCTTTAGAACCGAAGAATCGATGGAGGAATCGAAGAAATCTTGTGATTACCGGCGATGAGGAAGAAGAGAGGCCGGCGATGAAGCAAGAACACTGAGCTCGAAGTGGCTCGGGCTCAGGGAGGAAGAAAGGGTATATAGGAGGAGACCTTTAGTCCCGGTTGGAGACAGTAACCAGGACTAAAGGTCCCTTTCTAATCCCGGACGGAGCCTCCAGCCGGGAGTAGACTTTTACTCCCGGTTGGAGGGACCAACCAGGAGTAAAAGTTAACCTTTAGTCGCGGTTGATAGCTCCAACCGGGACTAAAGGTCCCCTACAGCAAAAGCCTGCTGCAGTAGCCGTTGGGTAGGGACCTTTAGTCCCGGTTGGAGCTACCAACCGGGACTAAAGATTTCTCTAAAGATTTCTCTAGTCCCGGACGCGAAAAATATCAGGACTAAAGCCAAATTTCGAAGTGGATCAAAAGTCGTTTCTCTACTAGTGCTGTCCTGAGCACTCATTATTCAGTTATCATCTCCATTTGCTATCGTTTTTTTTTCTTCAGCACAGTGAGGTTACCCTTTTCAAAAAAATTAATCATGTAGCAATTCAGTTTTAGGAAACCCTGTGCTAATAATTCTTTCATTTTCATATACTGTTTCACTGTTCCCACGCAGACTCTTTGGGTTAAGTCATTACAGTGTTGATTTTCGAAACAGCATACTGAAGCTTATCTCACTTGTTCCTGATATTGTTGGATCATGACACTGAAGCATACTGAATTCCTGATATTGTTGGACTGATACTGCTTCCATGATTTAATTGGTAAAATTGAGTTTCTTTCTTCAAAATATTTTGAGATTGCAATGCTTTGATTAATTAGTAAAATGACATGTGGTTAAGCACTTTTTAATTGTAAGAGATCATTTCCACTCAGTTTTATTTACCAAATTAACTTTTATGGGACTCCAGCATTTAATAAATTATAATTTCAGCTTGAGCTGTTTGGACCTTTGCAGGCTATTATTTTTCACATACATGAGCAAAAAGGTTATCTGGCTATCAGAGTAAAGGACTTGTAGTAGATAGTGTGACATCTTAGAGTGCCCCTAGCCTGCAACATTCAAACTCAATTAATATTATGATCTTGTAATTTGGTATACTGTACAATGCGAACAATCTCAAATTTCTGGTAACGCTACCCAACACGATCTATTTTAATGTCACGTTGCGTATGAACATGATATGGTATTTATAAACATGTGCGTGTCGCACGTGTATGTTAACTAGTCATATATAAACATTTTGCACATGTGCACATATGCACAAAATAAAACCACGAGGAGATATATCTATGGTTGCGGTGGTTGTGCCTCTGGTAGTGGTAAGCCATCTCTGTCATGGCCATGTCCATTCTCCTTCACGTCTAGCGTCCGGGAAAAATACCAATACCAGCCCTCTGAGCGCAGGCCCTCCACGACAAGGTCGCTGTCGCGGCAGTCGTCACGGAAGCTCTCCGTGTCGTTGGTCGTTGCGCAAGCGCGCGACGGCCGCCCGCATGAGCTCCTTCTTCCACTCCGGCAGCCGCGGGAACCCGCAGCGTTTCTCCCCGAACTCGTCGCAGTACTCCAGGTTCAAAAAGAGGGCATGCGAGAGGCGCCTGGGCACGCCGGCCATCTCCCTGGCGCGGTGGTACTCTTCGGCCGACCGCAGCATCTCCTCCGCCGACGGCAGCGGCCTCCGGCCGGACAGCACCTGCGCTACCCACCTCGCCTGCACCAAGTAGAACCGTGGCGCCTTCACCTGACTGGGCTCCCCCACGAAGGACAGCGACGGCGCTAGCGCCGGCGGGAAGGTGTGCTCGTACAGTACAACTGGCCGATGCGGTTGTCGTCGACGGTGAGCTGCAGGCCACCCGTGTCCAGGAACGGGAACGAGTAGTCGTACACAGTGCAGTACATGATGGAGTCGGTGACGACACAGGAGCCGTCGGCGAACGTTACCTGGCCATCCGCGCACAAGCACTCGATCTGCAGATTAAATGCAAAGCAAATTAAAGATCGATCACATTTATCAGATTCTGAACGAATGACATTATGCATGCATGGATTGCTAGTTCTTGACTTCTTGTTGCCTGGAGGTGCAGGATGTGGTGCCTGGACAGAGCTTTCCTCATGCCGGGGACAACGGTTGCGTCGTCCATGGATTTGACGCTGATGTGCACCTCTCTCGCCACCTCGCGGAGCTCCAGTGCGATCTCCTTGCCGCTCTCGCCGAGGCCGACGACGACGACCACCGCGTCGCGGAAGGAGCCCGGGACGCGGTAGGAGTGGGAATGCAGCTGCCGCCTCCTCCACTTGTCCATGCCGTTGATGGCTGGGATCCTTGGCTGGGAGTACTGGCCGGTGGCCACGACGACAGCTTCGAACACCTCCTCCGTGGTGACCACCTCGCCCTCGCAGTCACCATGTCTCTCTACGAGCACCTCACCTTCCAGCGCTTCGTGCCGTTGTCAGCTCCTGTGCGCCGCGGCGCCAGGCCGACGTGCAGGACCTTCGTGTTGAGCCTGACGACGTCCGTGAGCCCGAAAGCGTCGCAGAAGTCCCTAATGTACCTTAAGAACTCGGCGTGCCCCGGGTATCGCCGGGCGTCGCCGGTGCCGTCGTCCTTGGGGTAGAACGAGAAGTCCGAGAAGCACATGCTGTCTCTGGGTGCGTTGAGCCGGAGAGAAGCGTAGACGCCGCTGTGCACGCCGGCAGCACCGAGGGGTTCGTTGGCGTCGGTCCTCGGTTCGTAGAGCCACTGCCCACCGACGCTGTCGCTCTGCTCCATGACAGTCACATCGTGGCCCTCCCGGCGCAGCTCGCGGGCGGATACTAGCCCCGAGACGCCGGCGCCGACCACGCACACCTTCTTCGACGACACCATCCCGCCGCCGATTCCTCTAGAGACTAGAGTCTCACATGCAAGATCGGCGCTTGTGCAGCAATATGCTCCGAATACTGGTAGAGTGCACGCTTCCATGGTTGGCCACGCAGGAAGGACACGGACCAGGGTGTAGTGGCTGGTCCTAGTTCAGCCACGCGGTAGGACACCAACGTCCACCTATTTTTTTTTTAGAAAAAATACAGTATTTTATTTTAATAGTAATACGAAAATGCTTCTACACGGACGTTCGGGCTGTTTCATTCGTGTCGGACGCCGTTTTAACTGGACCACGACCCATACAGCCTACGAATGGCCCAACACTTTCTCCTTGCCGCTGACCGCCTTAATTCCTCACTGCCTGCTTTTCCTTCCTCACGTCCCCTCATGCCCGTGTCCGTCCTCTTTCTTCCCTCGCGCTGCACCCGCACACCTTCCTGCCTTGCCTCCATGGCGCACTGTTGAGCTCCACTCATGCGCCACCGAGACGGCGAGCCTCCACGACGGATGCACCAGCAAGCAGGAGAGGGGAGGAGCTTCGTGTGACACCAGCCGGCGAGTTGCCCGCGCCGCTGCCGCACCGGCGAGCTCTACGCCGCCATGAGGTCCATGTGCCGTCGCCGACCTCCGCGTCGACGTCGAGCTCTGCAACGACGAACCTCCATTCGTCCAAGAAGCAAGGTCAAGCTCCGCAACGACGAGCCTCCATTCGTCCAAGAAGCAAGGTGATATTGTGCTGAAAGCGTACATTGCAAGCGTACATTGCAAGCGTACGTTTCAAGTATTTTAGACATTTCAGAGGTATGTTGCAATAGTAGATCGGGATGTTGCACATGTCAATGGTGTTTAAAGTGTATGTTCCAAATATTTCATCTATTTCAGACGTATGTTGCAAGTGTTTCATCTGGATGTTGCAAAAGTAGATTTGAATGTTACATATACAACATGTTACAAGTGTATGTTTCAAATATTTCAGGTGTTCCATATGTATGTTACAAGTGTTTTATCTAGTGTTGCATATGTTTTGCAATACCTACACACATGTTTTCCTGGCGCTTCAGACGTATGTTGCAAGTGTTTCAACTATTTCGAATATATGTTGCAAGTGTTCTATTTAGATGTTGCAAAAGTAGATCTGGTGTTACGCATATTGCAATGGGACCCACCTACCGTAGCCGTCTGCTATAGCTACTGAGCCCGCGTGCATGGGCGTGGCAGCGGAGTTTGCGCGAGCGGCAGACGTAGGAAACGAAGTGGGCGCAGACACAGGCGCAGGAAACGACGTGGCCTCCGCGTTAAGCAGGCGCAGCGGGCTTTGGCGTTCGGACGCAGGCGTCCGTCTGGATAATGTCTGAGTGCCGGCCTGACTTTTTATAATAACCTGTCCTAAACTAAATTTCGAAGTAGTTTTTGGTCACGTCATGCATTTTTTTTAGAATTACACAGTATAACACAGACGCCCACAACACGTACGCGCATACTCACCCCTATGAACACACGTACGCAAACCCTACCCCTATGAGTACCTCCGAAGGACTGAGCCGGCAGATCTCGAGATTCACAAAGTCACCATGGTGCCTCGCTGTCGATGGGGACGTCGTCTACCACTAAAAGCATAGCGTCGTTAAATCATGGAATAAGTCCAGGAAAATACGAGCACCCGTACCAAGTCGATGACTTAAACCCGGATGGACAGGTTCCGCCACCAGAAACCTAACCATCTGATTTATGATCAGTCTGCGACTCACAACTAAATCGCGCCAGATGTTTAGGCACGACTCAAGACATGGAAGTGACGTGGTGGCCGAGTCACGCAATCAAGTATGGGCTTTGTGCCCATATATATATATATATATATATATATATATATATATATATATGATTTTGGGCTTGGCCCATACTAAAACCTAGCCTTTTAAATATATAAGATTTTTGGATTTGTCCATATTAAATCACAATTCAATTTGGGCCAAACAGATTGAGGAACCTTTTTTAGCGTGCAGATTATGGCCCAAGCGCATTGAGACCTATTTAAATAATAGTCACAAATAATATAATTCACAACCAATCAATCATTATCATAAATTGATGGTATTGAATATATATGCTACAAAACCTCATTAACAGACCAAGGATTCAAGCTCACAAATCAAAAAATTAATACTAATGCTACAACCAACACTACTTCACTATGCGGAGCACAAGCATATCGGCACCGCCGTGGCTTCCTTCCTCCCTCTCCTTTATTTGTCTGCTCTTCACCAAGCCTTTTGCTAGACTCCGTTGGTGGCTGTCGAGCGTCTCATTGGTGATCCGGCCTACGAATCTGTGGCTTGGTCCAGCCCCTGCACAACTGCGGGTGGCATGGGTGGGGCCTCAATGTGATGGCTGTTCTAGGCGAAAGCCTTGCTCTAGTCCTAGACGGTGCCAACGGCGATGGCGCCCTCAGGCATCATGTCCCTCCCTGGAGGTGTCGCTGAAGAATCAATCCTTTGGAGGCGTCCCTAGAGGCCTCTACAACATGCTGCCGTCATCTTGTGGGACATCGCCGCCTTTGTCCGTTGTCCTTACCACGTCGCCGGTCCATGTCGGAGTTCCTTGTTATGCCTGTGTGTGCTTCTTGTCTGTCCTCGCAATGGTTACCTATCCTAGCATCGTTTGGGTCGTCTTGGCTGATGCTTTGTCATCATCTTTCAGCTTTCGGTCTCCACGGATGCTTTGCTGCCGAGATTGCATTTGTTCCTATGGCGGATGCTTTGTCACTGAGGTCGTTTGGGTCTCTCCCATGGCAGATGTTTTGAGGTCGTCGTTCAGCTTTGCTGGCGGATACTTTGCTGCCAGCATCACTTTGGTCTCCGTAGATGCTTTGCTACCGAGAAGATGTTAGTTCCTGTGTTGGATGCTTTGCCGCTGAGGTCGTATGGGTCTCCCCTCCGGTGGATGCTTATTTGTTGCCGATAATTGTGGATGACCATGCCGTATTCGTTGGGTTGATGCTTTGCCACTGTGGTCTTAACTTTTTTGTAGGCAACTGTTCCATCAATATCTTCTTTTTCACAAGCTAGGCTAGTTTGCTAGGTGTTGTAGTCGAGGGACCGCTTCCCCTGCTTTTTTCTTGTCGTTTTCTTTAGGTTGTCTACCACTGTCTTGGTGGTTTGTAACCCGCGCTACGAGGACCCTCTCGTGGTTGTGTCGTATAACTTAATTCTTCTTAATGAAAAACGTGCTGAAGCATCTCCAAGGCATGTTCTCGAAAAAAAGCCAACACTACTTGTATGAAGGGAACACTAGAGATTGCAACAAATTGACACCCATACTCTTACCGATTGCAACATCACTACTCCATCAGTTCATTCTCACAGTCAGAGGTCATCCTTATAGCCATCTTAGAGAACCTATGTCATCCCACAGTTTCCCCACCATTTTGCTGCAAGTAAAATGGCCAAAGAGTGTATCAAATTATAAATTCTGCATAGTAATTTTGTCCCCAAGTTAAGAAATGCAAACTACACACATGCATTTTGAGGACGTGACGTTCATCAACTCACATCGATCAGCTCCTATATGTACACACAAGGCGTCTCGTCTTTTGCTCCCGAACTGCGATGCCCCAGTGGTAACCACCTCATCTGGATTTCAACCTTGTATGGAGCACGCACTGCCTTGGTCCCGGCCACCAAAGTAGTCCCTGATGAGATCCCTAACCTTGTATGGAGCACCGCCCCGCCATCTCTCTGGCGCGCGCGCGTGGCGGACGCGGTCGGCTGCCTAGGTTTTGCACGGCAAATGGCGGCATCCCGCATCCGGTTGCGAGCCGAGCGCGGTGCTAGCGCACATGCTGCGCACTGGCAAGAGTTCTGATCGCGACCGGTTTTGTGTGCCCTTTTTTCTGGCACTGGCAGGTGAGGATCCAATCCTACGAAGTACTCGTACCTGTGTATTCATCACGTGATAGGGTGGACCGGCCGGCCGGCTGTGTACGTGGGCACGTAGCGCATGCAGTGTGGCTGCCGGCAGCGGGGCCGTTGGGCGTACGAGTACGGCGCTGGGACGTTTGGTCGTCGGCCGGCATGCAATGCCACGCTGCATGAATTAATTAAAGCGGGGGACAAAGCTAGGCTCCCGCCGGCCGCCGCTAGCTGCCATGGGCGCAGCAGGCAGGGAGGCTCCTGGGCTGACTGGTGAGTGGTGACGGCTGAGCGGTGAGCCATGATGCATGCACGCAGACGCAGGTAGGTTTCGCGAGCGAGCGTGGCGGGGGATTGGCTGGGCAGTGGGCACGCACGGGGCTCGCCCATCTGCGCACATACAATAAGGAACGCTAGCTGACAAATATAACTAAGAAACATGACTTCGCCTGTTGACCTAATCGACCTGACAAGGCGACACAAACAACACATAAAAATTATAATTGACACCAGCATAAGATCCATATATAATAAGATAACCAAAGTATAAGAGTGTAAGACCATAAATCGACAATACATCAAACCAACCACCAATCCAGATGCATGGATTGGACTACTGCAGTGTGGCGCCAGCTGGGCTACGTACATTATTGGACTGCCTGAAACAAGATATCCCATTTTATATGATAAATATATTTATGATTTGACTAAGTGTTGATAAATGTATAAAAAAAATCATCTTTACAAAAATATATTATTTGCATTTTCAAACGGATGGAGCTCTATATGTATATCTTGGCAGGGTTCGAAGATTCTTTCTTATCTTGAAGTAGAACGGGGCCTGTTTAGATACCCTGACTAAACTTTAGTCACCTAAACAACTTTAGTCACCAAAACTTTAGTCCATAGGTATCCAAACATGTGAACTAAAAGTGAACTAAACATTAGTTCCTACTCCAAGTAGCCATTAGTCCATTAGTTGGCAAATGTGGACTAAAAGTTGTTCATGAGTCTACGTCTAAGGAATGTTTTTTTATTTTGCTTTTAGTTCACTTTTAGTCCATGCATGTATCCAAACATCACTTGACTAAAGGTGATTTACATAAGCGTTAGCTCAACTAAATCTTAGTTCATCTAAACTTTAGTTATAGACTATCCAAACAGGTCCTTTAATTAACTCATGCCAATGGATGGCGTGTACCATCCTTTTCTAGGAAAGACAAATTAAGTACTGATAGGCATTTCAAAATTTCTTTAAATCAAAATAGTCATCCAACCAAGTTCACACACAAAAATATAGGCCGCCATAGAGAGGTGTATGCCGATGACAAAAGGGGAGACCAATCTATGCATAAACATTTCTCACCAACTATACTTAAGTTTCATATGCTTGTTCTCTACTTTCTCAGGATTAAGTTCCCTCAAGGTTATGCCAAAAAAAACAACGCTATAAAAATATTGAAACAACCACATTTATCGAAGACCAGGATCTCATAGAAGTCCAATCACTAGTCCGAAGTTTTAATGTTCCAAAAAGGCACCCATACATCACATTTTTGACATGTATCGAAGTGTCAGGACGTACGTAGCTTTAGCTGATGAATGCATGGCTTTCAAAGAAAAGATGGTTATAACCAAGCAGCAAAAAGACATGAAAAATCAAACATTTTAATTAAACGGGGCTGACGTACCCAACAAATTAAAGTTGGCAGGCAGGATATGTGACTACATATCCCCGGTGGTAAAAGGCTGGCTCGATGTATCGCTCCCCAGCAGTAAAACGTACGGAGTATATCATATGCATGTCCGGCAAGCGAGCTATGGATCGTGAATTCGTTATTGTGCTTGTGGCCATGGAGGTCATATGGACCGCGCCCTAGCTGATCCAGTGCCCCTTTTGCTATTATTGGTTGTTGGCTGCTGAGTGCTGAACTGCTAACGCTTGCCCACATCGCTCAGGTAGGTGTAGCTGTGGACCGAATGCTGGAAATTAAATTAAATTGTATGAACCCGGGATCCAATCTCTCACACCGATCCCTACCCTACCTGGGGTCCAATCTCTCACAACGATCCCTACCCTTTGTGAAGGATACGTGTATGTGAAATTAATCTCCCAGTTGGTTTGCTGATGATCCAAATAAGATAATGCTTTGTGGGATCATATTTATGCATGTAATTGATAGATAAGTTGGCCGCATGATTGGTTTAATAAATATTAGTTGTAGATGTGTATATATATGAACACCATTCACAGTTTCTATGATTTCAGTGAAGTCTTCCCAGACAGCAGCATTGCTACCAAACAAAGCAGCACCAGCATCTCCCATGTCATCGACATCATCGGGGAGCTGCCCTGACGGCTGACGCGATTAGGTCTTCGTTGATGGTTCTAGGGTAATGGCCATCGTCGTCGTCCATGGCCAACGCAACCTTGTCGTCTTCTACCTCTTGGCACCGTACCTCAACAGCACATGCGACACCAGCACGACGCGCCGCGCATCGGTCGACAACCTGCGACCATGAAACAGAGAGTTCTAGGGTTAGGGTTCATCGTTCATGTCAAGAAAAAAAGAAGTCTAGGGTTAGGGTTCATGTGATGATCCTGCATAGCCGAAGCTCGGAGCCAGAGATGAAGAGGCGTGTCGGTAGGAGCACCACCCCGATGGACGATGAGCGACAAGATCGACCGGTGGAGAACAACGAGCGGTTAGAGAGAGGTCGGGAGGAAGAAGAGAGTACGAGAGTCGAGAGGTGAGAAAGAAGAGAGGAGATCTGCAAGATTCCACGGTGGAGAGGTTACCAGAGATGGGGAAGATGGCGACAGAGGCGACGACAATGGCAGGCGGCGGGCGAGAGGGGCTGGGAGGAAGATCAGGGTACAAGATGGGAGGAGGGCGAGAGGAGGTCTGTAAGATCCGGCGGTGGAGACGTCGCCGGACATGGAGAGGACAACGAGAAAGGCGATGATAGCGCCATAACTTCCGTTATTTGGCGGGCCAGGCCATGCCACCCGTCGGGCTGAGGCAGCGGCCTAGGCACGGCGTGATGCCCCGGCCCAGGCAGGCCCGAGCAGGAGCTGATTGGGCCGGGTCAAAAAGCGAGCCTCGTGTTGGGCAACCGGGCTATGGGCTGCATGTTCATCTTTATCCAGTGCCCGTACATGTTGCTATTGGCTGCTGGCTGGTGAGCGCTGACGCTTGACCAGATCGCTCCGGTAGCTGTAGACCACGGTGACCGCCTACGTTGGCATGTTACTTTTGGGCCGGGGGTGGGGGCTCCATCAACTTTTTCGCCTCATGCCTACCCGGGCGAGCGAAGCATGAGCCACTGTTCCTCCGAGGTGAGCCTCGTGTGGCCCGAGGCACGTCAGCAGCCACGTCGCGGGCGCGACACTTGTACAAATCCTGTTGACTTCCCACGTACACGGCCGGCGTGGCGGAAAAAAAATTGGTAGAGATGAACCTTACCAAAATATGGTGCGGATGTGCAGCTGATGCGTGGGCCATGGGGCATCTGATTTACCATCCGTGCGGTCAAAATGATACAGTGGCCCACATGTGAGACAAACAGTCCGCACCACATCTTGCACCCAATTTTTTTCTGGTGCGGCAGCCCCCGTCGCCCTCGCGCCCTTTATAAGCTCAATTTCACACCCCTGTATCTGGAGCGCAACGCAACGTAGGACGCTCCCGCCTCCCGGCCTGTCCTTGCACCTTGCTCGATCTGCGGCTACAGCTGATAAGCCGGTGTAGCAGCGAGCTAGGCGAGACAGAGCAGGCCTTTTTCCGCTCGCGCTCTTTCCCCATCGTCGTCGTCCCAATGCAAGCCCGGCCTTGCTACCTGCAGCTTCGTGTACCTGCCGGTTGAGGAGAGGAAACGACCGGTCGATCCACCAGACCATCGATCGATGGGGCGCCCGCCGTGCTGCGATAAGAGCGGGGTGAAGAAGGGGCCTTGGACGCCCGAGGAGGACGAGAAGCTCGTCGCCTACATCAAGAAGCACGGCCAGGATTACTGGCGCACCCTCCCCAAGAATGCAGGTGATGAGCGCCCTGACACCGACGGCATGAAAAATCATACATGCATATATATATATATATAGAGAGAGAGATATCCATGCACATCATATATACATGCTCATCACCTCGATCGATCGATCCTTGTCATGGCACGCATGCAGGGCTCGCACGGTGCGGGAAGAGCTGCCGGCTGCGGTGGACAAACTACATGAGGCCGGACATCAAGCGCGGCCGCTTCACCTTCCAGGAGGAGGACACCATCATCCAGCTCCACAGCATCCTCGGCAAAAAGTAAGGACACACTAGCTACACGAAATGCCGGACGATGCGTGATTGGCTACATACACTGGCGTGGTGTGGTTATTAGGTGGTCAGCAATCGAGGTGCGGCTGTGTTGGCCCACAGTTAGCCTCCCGACCACCGAGATGATCGACAGACCACTCCGTTGGTCTCACAGGATCACCGGCTCACGACAGTGAACCACTCCAGCCGATCTTGCCGACCACCGGCTCAGGCGAGTGGAACACTTGTCGGTCTCGCCGAGCACGCGCTAGTGTTGCCGAGCACCCACTAGCCGTGCAGACCACGTACCGGCGTTGTCCGTACCCACACACTACGGATCGAGCTAGAAGAGGAAGGGAGAACAGAGCAAGCACGCACAATACAAGGCAACAGCGTTGGCCGAAGCCCTGTCTGTGTGATGACAAATCTGAGCTCTCTTTACTGAGTTGCCATACATGTCTATTTATACAACTCTAACTATCTAGTCCATGTGCAGCGCCCATGCTGGCACAGTAACTAGATAACCTGACAGGGCTGACTCTGCGTCGGCCACTGCCTGTTCCTACAGTGTTGTAGGTGAGCCGTGCGGCGCCTGCACCTACAGCGGCTACTGTATCACAGCAGGGGGCAAAGTCGGCGCCGCCTTCCCTTGCTGTGTTCACACACAGCAGGCAGCTAAGTCGGCGCCGCCTTCCTCTGCTGTGTTCTCACAAGGTGGCAGTAGATTAGCTAACAGGCTGCCCGGACGGACGGACAACGAGATCAAGAACTACAGGAACACCACCATCCGCAAGCCCCTGCTCCGCATGGGCATCGACCCCGTCACCCACGCGCCGCGCCCCGACCTCATCCTCGACCTCGACCTCGACCTCGACCTCTCCGCCGCGCTCCTCACGCCCGCCGCCGCGTACTGCTACTGCTATCCCTACCCCACGCAGGCCGCCGCGCCTTGGACTTGGAGCCTCTCGCCAACAACTACGAGCCGGACCCAGACCTCCTCCGGCTCGCCTCCACCCTGCTGCTCTCTGTCCCGGCCGCGCCCGCGATCGGCGACCAGCAGCAGCTCCTGCCGTGGACCTTGCAGCCGGCCACCATGGCGCAACAGGTGGTGGCGCTGCCGCCGCCGCCGCCGCAGGCCGAACAGTTCGTGGCGCAGCATGCGTGCCAAATGCAGCAACACCAGCCCCAGGACACATGATGGCGGCGGCGGCCTCACAGCAACAGCATGCAGCCGCCTACAGGCTACGTCGTCGACAGCCTGCTTGACGTCCCGGCGCTGATGCAGATGCAGATGGTGCAGGCCGCGGACGCGTCGAACCTGCAGCAGTGGAGCAGCACGGTGGCAACATGCAGCAGCAGCAGCAGCAGCTTCGTACGTGCCTTATTCGTCTCCAGCGAAGAAAATTAGGGTTGCTTTTCTTAGAATGCTACTGTACGTGCCTTATTCGTCCACATCGATCCATGCTGCTTGGTTTCCTTCAGCTGATTAATTGCCCCACCCGTATTATGTGATTAATTGGGGACTGTCATGGAGGGTCACAGCTGATGGACGCATGATGATATAGACAATCTTGAATGGTTGAGAAAAAAACAGATCACTAGCTAGTACTGGTCTGGTATATACGGTGCGCAACGCAGCTTAATGATTGCTGCTGATGCCTGCCTGCTCCCTCTGATGAACGACATCAATTTGTTGATGATACTAACTAGCATGTATGTTGTTGGACTGCTGTTGGGTTTTCAGAGTCAAATAAAGATTGCATCAGTTTCATAGAAGAGTCCAATGGAGATTGTGAAGTGAGCACTGAGCATAGAAGAAACTGCCAAGTTGGTTGCTCCGAAAATGCAGTCTCACATGCCCATGTGGCCACAGGACTTATCCTAGCCATCCATCCTATGGTGGGTCCCACTCTTTTTATTTATTTTTAATCTTTCTCTCCCATCGGGCAGCACCAGCACGGGATCCCCTTCCCTCCCGTCCCGACCCGAGCGGCACAGCTCAATCCCCAGTGGCGGCCCCTCCCCAGGCGGCCACGCCCCTCCCACAGCTCACCTGTGGTGCGGCGCCGGCCCCCGCTCTAGGCACTCCGGCGGCGGCGGCGCAGGCACAGGCGAGGTGTGCCTCTTCTACTTCTTCTTCTTCCTCCTCCTCCTCGTCCTCCTCCTGGGTCTCCGAGCTGGGGCTCCGGCGAGCTCTTCCTCTTATCTTCCCCAAATCCGGCGGGATTAGAAGTGAAGGTTCGGGGGGAGGAAGGGCGGCCAGGCGGTGGGGATGGTCGTAGGGCGGCTTTCGGGTTCTGGCGGCGTAGGGGGCGGTCGGGCCAGGCAGGGCGGGGGCGTCCATGGCCGGAGCTTGCTGCGGAGGAAGGATGCGGCGGTGCGGAGGAGTTTGGGCGTCGGTGGAGGACGAGGTGCAGCCTCGCGCGTCGTCCGGTTCCTTTCCTGCGTGAATCTTGATGCTGGAAATGTTCTACGCCAGGATAGGTCTGGTGGCCTTAAGGGCATGTGAAAATTCCGCGTTGCAGCTTGCTCATCCTCCACGTTGCAGCCACGCCGCTGCCTCTTGTGGAAGTGCCACGCCGCTACGCGGCCATCTCTAGACCATTGCTGCCTCCGGGGCTCCGAGGACGAGCGTAGCAGCCACAGCCGCCGCCGCTGGCCGAGCACCTCCACCTTGCTGCCGCTTTGGGGAAGTGTTGCGCTCGCCGCGCGACTGTCTCTAGACCACAGCTGCCCTCGAGGGTCTCCGGGGATGTGTCATGAGTGTAGTAGCCATTGCCGTGTCTTTGACTCTATCATGGAGAAGAGAGAGAGAGACAAGAAAGAGAACTCAACTCTAGGGTTACGTGGTTTGGAGGTGGCAGCTATCTCCGGCTGAACACAGCTATTAGCGTTTAGGATTGCTTAGCACGAAAAGTTAGTTCTCCTAGCTGTTTTCTTCCCCGGCAGCTATCTCAAGCTATAGTTGTAGGCAGAGGTTTTTGAACAATAGTAACTGTAACTCCTCCGGTACTCCTCGTTAAAAAAAGGCACAAATCTTAAAGCAGCCCATTAAGCTAATTAATTATTTTCTTATTTATTTGTTGCTTGGGTCACGGTTGGGCTGAACCCGTCCAACCCAGCCCCCCATCGGCTCCGTTACTTCGTCGAACGAGGAGACGGCGTTGGCCCAGGGCCGTGCCCATGGGCGTGTGACCAGTACGACTGAACAGGGCCTCTCAATTTCCGGGGCCTAAAAAAACCAGCCCAACAGTAGAAGCCCCATGTATTCGAGTGAGTAAAGAGCGCAGCACGAGTCTGCGCAGGGCCCCACGACGTTTCCTATTCTCCCTCGAGTATTCGTGACTTCGAGCCTGTTTGTTCCGCCTTGCTAAAGTTTTAGGTACCAGAACCAATGATTAAACTTTAGTTACTCCTATTTTATTCTATGACCAAAAGTGATTAAATATTGTTAAAGCAGTTCAATAAAGATTAAATTATCCCTAATGAATGCCCAGTAATAATGAGGGGCAGCCCTTATCCACTGGCCATTTTAATCCACTTTTAGCTACTCTTGGATAACTAATGTGACTAAACTACTTTAGTCTCTTTTTAGCCAGTTTGTTTAGTAATTTAGTAGTTAAAGTGACTAAAATTTAGTAGCTAAATTTTAACGGGCAAACCAAACAGGCCCGATTCGTCTGTTCGTCTAATCTCCACGACTCCGCCAGGCGTAGGCTGCGTCCGTTCATCTAGTGAAACTGCGACCAACAAGCAAGGCAGCAACAGGGAGAGGGCAAGAGGCGGAGGACCCCACAGGAGTGCAGGTATTATTTTTTGATCAATTCCAACTGTATTGTACTAATTAAATCCTTCCTATGAAAGTCTAGGAGTGCTTATATATAATTTTAGTTTTATTCTTTTCATCTTTGGAAGCCATGTCATCTGCAAATCGATTTAGAAAATATGAATCTGGTTCCGAAACGTAAGAAGAAACAAAGAATCGAGGAGTTAACTCAATCTCAGAAAGGTACTATTCTTGATATATCACATTTGCTCTACGTTGTATACACTATTTTGGTTATATTTGGTACTTTGATTCAGGCCTCACTTAGAGCTTTGTACAGGGCCTACAAATCTGACGGCATGGCCCTGCGTTGGCCATTACCGAGCAACGGCAGCTGGCGGACTGAACCAGGGGCGGCACCTCTCCGGTCCTCCCCCTCCTCCCCCAATTCCATTTGATTGCGCTAGCAGCTCAGCGGCGCCGTCCGATTTGGTGCGCCCAGGTCTCCAGCCACGTCCTCGACTAGCGGCGCGTGAGATTTGGGGTGAGGACCACGTCTGTAACATCCTAAATGTTAAAAAGTCCATTTTTTGCCATTCAACTATGGCTGCAGTTTTCTTCTAGTCCTCTAACTCGAAAACCAGACACGCGCAGTCCCATAACTCTCAAAACTAGTTAAAATTGGCCCTCACGTCCATTCGACCGCGGTTTCCTCACAGTAAACCCGCCACGACCCCGCTTGTCAGGCCTTTTCCTCTCACCGCCAGGTTGGGACCACCTGTCATCCCCCTCCCTCTCTTCACGGGTCCCGCCTGTCAGGCCTTTCCCCAACCTCCCATCTCACCCGCGTACCCCACGCATCCACTCTGCTCCTCCTCCGGTGCTCCTCGCCGACGCATCTGCTCTGCTCCTCCTTACCTCCCATCTCACCCGCATCTGTCTGCTCCTCCTCCGGTGCGGTGGCCCGCATCTCCTCCTCCGATGGCCCACGGTGGGAGGAGCGGCGGCCTGCATCTGCTTGACCACCGTGGCGGCGGGCTCGTGTGGCGCGGCGCGGACTCCAGCAGAGTTCCTCCGTCATCCCCGCACGCCGGATGTCACGACCCTGGCCTCGTCTGGCATCTGCGCCAGGCCGTGCCCCTTTGACCTCGCCGGTGTGCACGGTGGATACCGAGGCATGTGCGCTTGCTGCCAGCCGCATGCTCCGCCGTCCTCATGCGTCAAACCTCGTAGCAGAGAGGCACCGTCTTCGGAGTGGTGTACTCGGAGCAGAGAAGCACGACGAATTGTGCTCGTCATGCTTGCCCATCTCTATGCTCGCCGTGCTCGGAGCAGAGCATAGCAGTCCTTCTTCACGTTCGCCCATCTTCGCGCTCACAGCAGAGCAGAGCAGTTCTTCACAGATTGTGCTCGCCCATCTCCGCGCTCGCGGCCGGAGGTCCCCTGCTCGCCCGCGCTTAGCGCCGCGTGCTCAGCCCCTCCGTGTTGCCTTGCTTGAAGAAGAGGAAAGGCGAGCGATTTCGTGACGCAGAGAGAGATTTGGTGGTGCGTCGCCGTGCTTCTTGTATTAGCTTGAAGCAAAGAGATTTGGGGCTGCTTGTATTAGCGTGAAGTAGAGAGAGATTTGTTGGCCGTAGTTCGGTTGGAGGTGACCCATGGTGCCGCCGCTTGCGCCGCTGCCGAAAGCTCCGGCGACCCCTGTCTCCGGGCACTGCTGAGGTAGGCCACGGGCGTCCCTGCGCCACTCCTCGGCGCGCGCACCCGCACGCGCGAGCGCGCAGCCGTACAGGGCGGGAGGTTGGGGAAAGGCCTGACAGGCGGGGCCCACGAAGAGAGGGAGGGGGATGACAGGTGGTCCCAACCTGGCGGTGAGAGGGAAAGGCCTGACAGGCGGGGTCGTGGCGGGTTTACTGTGCGGAAACCGTGGTCGAATGGGCGCGAGGGCCAATTTTAACTGGTTTTGAGAGTTAAGGACTGCGCGTGTCTGATTTTCGAGTTCGAGGGCTAGAAAAAAACTGCAGCCATAGTTGAAGGGCAAAAAATGGACTTTTTCCAAATCTTGATCATGATCATCAAGCATAATTAGCAAGCATTGTGGCATAAATACATTTCATGTTTCAACTATAGCATGCATGTGTTGCATATGTGATGTTTCATATGTTGCGTTGTGATGTTTCATATGTTTTTTATAATATGTTTCCCATGTTGCATGAAATGATGTCAATGTTAGTAATTAGGGATCTTTGTGATTTTATATATGAGAATTTGCTTAAACAAGTAAAATTTTGTTAAGATAAAACTTGTAGTACAAATTGGGTGCTTTGATGTAGAATCAAAATATAATGGTGTTTCTAAGTCAAACATGTTGAAATTGGACTCCAAAGATTGAATTTAATGCTGTTTTTCCTTCCTTAGCATTTTGTGGCTAAGTC